TCACGTGGCCGTGCACGCAGAGCTGCAGCAGGGAGCGGGATTACTCAACGCTTGTCGAGGCGCAGCCGTTCCCCATGCATAGAATACCTGTTGCCGGTAACACTCCACCATTAAGCAGTGGAGTCAGTGGCTCCAGCATCCACACTGCTGAGCCAGGCAGTGGCACAAGCTCTGTTTCCGTGGAGACCGTGGCAGAACCTGCAGTTCTATCTGAGCCAGCTGCAGAAACAGGAGAACGTGAAAGTGAATCGCATGCAGCGGGAGCTGGAAGTTCAGCGGTGCGACGTCACCCCACCATCATGTTGGACCTGCAGGTTAGAAGGATCCGACCTGGTGAAAACCGCGATCGGGACAGCATCGCCAGCAGAACACGTTCCCGCGCCAGAGTGGCTGAGAATACTGTCACATTTGAGAGTGACAGTGGTGGATTCAGGCGCACCATCTCCCGCTCCGAGCGAGCGGGGATCCGCACCTATGTGAGCACTATCCGGATTCCTCTGAGGCGCATCAGTGAGACTGGCCTGGGGGAGCCTAACTCCACCGCCCTGCGCTCCATCCTGCGCCAGATCATGACCGGATTTGGGGAGCTGAGTTCCCTAATGGAGACAGAGGCAGATTCTGAAACTGTTGCACCTAGCCATGCAGATGCTAGTGTTACCAATAGTAGCACCGGTCCAGCTACTCGTTTACATACGAATGAGAGCGTAGCTGGCCAGGTTGGTACAGGTGGGGTGGATCAGGAAAGGGTGGGGCAGGTGGGAAGTGAGCAGGAACAGGGTGGGCAGGCCAGGCTGGGAGCAGCGGTAGTGAGCCCCACAGAGGGACGAGCGACCAGCAGAGACACCAACAACCTGGTAGAAAACGGTACTCTACCCATCCTGAGGCTGGCGCACTTCTTCTTGCTCAATGACGAGGAGGATGACGAACATCCTAGGGGCCTGACCAAAGAGCAGATTGACAATCTAGTCACACGCACCTATGGTCAGGCCAACCTGGAGGGGGAGATAGGTAGAGCGTGCAGTGTTTGCATCAATGAGTATGCCCAGGGCAACAAGCTGCGGCGCCTGCCCTGCTCCCATGAGTTTCACATCCACTGCATCGACCGCTGGCTCTCTGAAAACAACACCTGCCCCATCTGCAGGCAGCCCCATCCTCGCAGTGCATCATGACTGACCTATTTGCTCACAAACACAACTATCAAGTCCTGGCTGGCTGAACCGAGCAGACCCAAGTGGGCTTTGCATGTACATAGCGCTTTCATGGTTACTTTTTCTTTGAAAATATCTATTGTGTTGAAGTGGGGAAGGTTGTGAACCAAAAGTGCAGAAAAAAAGAAACTATAAATGCAGAGAATTAACAAAACTTTATTTTTTTAGACTTTGTTTTCAGCAACTTCCTACTGTTTTAAGTTAATCTTCCTATGACATATGTTTAACTGGTCTCTGTCACAAAGCTTAAGACGCCTGTGTCAATGGATGGCATTAATGCTTAAGGAGCTCCTGTAGCCGCTGCTGACTAGTCTCACTTTAATGTCTGAAACATGTGACGTCTCTTTGTCACAACTGGTCTCCACAAAACACTTCTAGATTTGATTTATTCCGTATAAGCTGTAAATAACTCGACACTGCTTGTATTTAAGAGTTTTAAAGCAAGCCGCTCCTCACATGCTAACTGTTTAAAATGGAAGCAGAAACCTTTTTTTCTTTAAGTCACCATTTTAAGGCTTCGGCCTCCATTTGAAGGTGACCCTTTACAGCTGGTTAAGAAACGTATGATTTGTGTATGAGCTATGTATTTCATTTTGAAATAAGTTTTATTCTGTACGTTTAGTAATATCTGTTTAAGCCTGTTCGATACACTTATTCTATATAATTGCAATACAGATTTCATCCATAGAAGTCAGTCACTAAAATGTTGGAGTCAGTAACATTACCAATATGAGCAGCACAATTTAAATGAAATGCAGAAGGCATGTGATAATCAGGAATTCAGAGATGTAAAATGTAGGAGGAGTTGTGCAATACAGAGAGAAGAGACAGTATTCTTTGTTTTGCTGTTCATTGTTGTTTACATTGTAATGTCTGATTATCATCTACACTTAAAAACAAAGTCTTGTTTACCCTGAAATCAATGTTTCCTCTTGGTTCCTGTTGCTGTTTCATACCTGACCCACGGACTGGTGTCATTGAAATTGCATTGAGTACTTGATACATCTATTGAGCAAAAACTCTGACCATGAAAGAAAGTCGGTTTTTAGTGTTTTGCAAAATCTCAGATCATTTGGGATGAGATAGGCGCTGGAAAATAATTAAACTTTCAAGTAACTGCTTTAGATTTGGCTCAAAATGAAGTGTTCTGCTGGAGTGCAACACCTGAATAAGGCAGTGTTAGTAATGTGATTTCTGTACACTCTTTACAGTTGGTCTTTACATTACTCGCGCACCTTTTGGCATTAATGTAGCACAGGTGAATTATTTAGCTCAATCTCCTAGTATTTGTGTTATCACCAGCGTCCTTTTGCACATACATAACAGTACACAGGAAATACTACATCACATGTCACTCCAACTCTAGGAATGATTCAGCTGTATGTAAGAATGAGAGGTGAGTATGTGTATGATTTAATTGTGTGTGCGTGTTGTTTGTGTTCTGAAGGAAAGGGCCAGTGTCCCAGTAAACCCAGATTCTCACTTTACAAACATTAGGTTGGGGCCATCGAAGTGAATAGTTATTCTGTTCCTATTTAATAAGATGGAAATCAACTTTTGAAATATGTATTATGTTACAATGTGATGAGAGTAAACAGTTAAGATAAATATGTTACTATGTAATACAATGAAGACATGGGTTTTCTTCTCTTCTCCTTGACAATGGAATAAAATGCAGCTTTGTTATGCTTGGACATCTGGTTTAAATGAGTATACTGTTTGTGTGCACACGACCCTTATCAACGGCTAACCACTCGAGCTACCAACGAGCTATTTTGATTTATCCATATGGGTCATTCCAGAATTGGAGGACAATTTAGACACCAACATTTTTGAAAAATGAACCTTTTATTTTATGATTTTTTTTGTATGTATTTAGGAAAAACAGATAATAAACCATCAACAAAAGTGATTTGCCCAGCTAGGCATCAAATGTGTATTTTCCAATGAAGAATTACCCCTGTTACTCTAATTATAGTAACAGGGTTGAAAGTCAATGCTAATTTGAGTTTTAACCTCAGGAATTATTGCTAGATGTAGCATGTAATGCTACTTTCAAGGTAAGGACAAACTTGAATATCTAATGCAAGAAAGATAAATTAATATGCTTTATTCTGATAATATCAGTAACAGGGTTGAGTGGGTCAGAGTGCCACACTCTTTTAAGACTGAAAATATATGAAAAATAAATGTGCTAGTACCCATGGCACTAGCACATGGCTTGCTGATGTCACTTCTATTGTGTCATGGATTTACAGTTTTTTCACTTCCTGTGCCAATCTAAAAAGGTTTGGGTAACAGGGTTGAACGCATGTTGAGGGACACACCTTCTATGCAAAATTACTGTTATTTAAAATATGTTTATGATTTAACAAATTGATTTTACCATTACAAGAGACATTTATCAATAGAATAATACCAACAAAAATAAATAAAATCCCTATTTTAAATATTATATTTGACATGCAAGTTGGTCACCAAGAAGCGGGGACAAGAGAAAAATGCCATTTTAGGGGATGTTCGAGAGCTATTTGATAATTTAAATAATATTTTGAAACCACTTTTTCTACAACTTTATATACATTTTGTCTCAAGACAAGTATGTTTAACACAAAAGTGCATGTTTTAGCATTTTGGGCATGGATTATTAGATTTTTTATATGAATTCTGGAATGACCCCCATTTTGTTTTTACAATTCTGTTATACAATTGAACAAAGGGCAAGTGGATGATACTGTTCACTTAAGTGTAAAAATGTACATTTTGGTGGCTTGAATTGATATTGCCGTTAAACTGTCGACGATGGTAACCTATGGTGGTAACCTAACGGTTTTACGTTGGCACTCTTGTCCACCATGTTTAAGTAAACTGCAGTAGTTTGATAATTGTTGAATTAAGAAATAATTCATAGCTCATTTTAAAAAGGACAACTTTAATTTCTAAACAAAATGTATCCCTCGTTCAATACTCACTACATTGACAGACTAGTAACGTGCTAACATAGCTAGTTAGCTATGATTAGCTCTAACTATAGCTAATAGCTTATAATAGCAAACTTAAGTTAACTAACATTAGCTAGATTTTGCAGTGTGTCGCTTAGTGTTTATTTGACTTAGTCAATTAAATTACCTAGGACCTTTTCTCTAACAAAACGTTACAGGTAGGCTACTACTGTTAAACTAGATTGTGTTAACTGTCATCCCCTTTGTGCTAAAGGATAAATTGAGCAAATAAAATAACTCTCTTTTTCTTAGCCATATTTCCATATCGTCCAAAGCGGTTCATTCCATATAAATGTCAATATGAGAGTATTTCACGATTTATTTTTCATACGTTATCCATTTGTATAGAGTGATAAAATACAATTTAATTGACATCAGTTGTACTTCAATCTCTGTACCCAGAGGCCAGTACGCGCGTTCGCATCTGATCATACGATGCGCGCCCCCGTGGCTCAATTGAATGAATTGAATGGGAAACAAAACCATAAACAAGCCACAGAGCACATGAGCGGAAGTGTGACAGTTGATTTTTCGAAATAAAGATTTCAAATCAGACGCAGGGCAACTAGTGATTTAGTAATACAATTAAAAAAAGGTTAAAATCATCATTACAATTTCCTCTACTATGAGCGGTTAAGCTTTTAAGCCTGACCCTGGCATTGTTTTTGTCAACCCCATATTGTTTTAATAAGGGTAACTTTATTAAATGTAAACATCACATTCATCTCACCTTTATTCGAACATCTTTTATTTTGAAAGCAGCAAATGGAAGTAGCACCTTCTTCATCCCTTCTATGGCGCTCGATGGCAGCTGTCCTCTTCTATGCAACATTACCTCCGCAGACTAGCCGAGAAATAATGACCAGTGAGCCGCAGCCCGGACCCGGAGCAGCGGTCCCCTGCTCTGCCGGAGAACCGTGAGCATGCCCCGGCTTGGAAAACATCTCCCCAGCCTCTCAGACAACCATTCAAGATGTATTTCAACCGGAGAGCCAAGAAGATACACACCGAGGGGGGTAAGCTAAAAAAACAACAACAAACACCTTATTTAATCTTTGCACAGTTAACGCTTTCACCAGGATTTTAATTCGAGATCTGTCATCGCAAGATCTCTGTCTCAGTGTTGATAACAGGCTATTGCGGCCTGTACATAATCGTGCGTATTTAATGTGCTTGGCATAATAACGGGATTTGTTCGGAACTGCGGCATGCATGCGACTTGCTGTACCGGTATCTATCCTCCAGTCTCGACTTTTTTTTTGGCAGAGGATGCAAGGGCAAGCGGACTGCAGGTGTCTGCTTCAGATGGCCCGGTATGCCCTTTATATGAATTGGCAATCTTACATAAGATGATACAACATGTGTGTTCCTGCTAGGATGAGAACGAGTATCGTGTGACCTTAAAACTCACTAAAATAGAATATACTGTATTTCCCATGACATCAATATGGTAACAGATAGTTGTGTTGCAACAGCCCCTCGTATCCAGGCCACCTGAATGACAACATATGGGATATTTTCTTATGGGTTGACTTGCTTAAATATTTCTATAATATACAGTATATATTCGAAGGAGTTATACATTATCTCTCAATACAATATACTGTATTCCTCATGGCATCGATATGGTATTAGATAATTGTGCTGCAACAGCCTCTTTAGGGCTCTCGACTAACTTTTTTTCACCATCCTCCCGGAACCGTCCCGAAATACAATCCAAGCCGTCCCGAAATTAATGTGGACCGTCCCGAATTTAAAATGTTAGTGTTTCTACATTATCATTAGTTAAAATCATTCAAAGTGACCTTTAACATAAATAAAACATCATACAAATCATTAGATGATAATTCATCAACCTTTTTATTTGAGTAAATCATTCAATCACATAAACAAAGGCCAAATATATTTAAACAAACACACAAACGAGACAATTACTCTAATATTGAATCCAATCAAGTCCCATCCAATTAACAAAACAATCCAACACTGTGTCCTGAAGACAGAACCCAGAGTAACCCCTAACCAGGATGACAGTCTGTCAGTCAGGAGACCTTTACAAACGGCCCCCTCGCACACAGACGGGAGAGAGATCTCGTCTGGATTGGAAAGCTCGAAAATACATCATAGACGCATGTTGTAGTCTTATTGCATATTAGAAACGGAGTTGGTGAAACTAAAACTGCGATATAATGTGTATGTAGCAATAATACATATGACATATATTTTTTAGATGTCCCCAGTACCGACAAAAAGTCCGATAACGTCGGAGCTTAACGTTACCACTGTCTTTAATAATTCCGGCCCGGGGTCCGTTTAATACCGGGGCTCGGTACCCATCCCTACATGGGGAGAGGCGCAGCATATTGCTAAGGACTAAATACGATGGAGGGTTCTCATCTCAGCCTTATTACCCATAGGGGATGAAGAGGAGTGAGTAAATAAAGAGGCCGGCGCTCCAGGGTCTGGTTCTGCTGTGCGTTTTTGTGATTAACGGTAAAACATTTCAGAATTCCTACACGGGATGCCATTGTCATTGTACATCACTCAACCCGCGAAATACACACTCAGTACATAGCTAGACCCGCAAATTTGCGGGCCAGGAATTCGCGGGCACAGCCAGCTGTGTGGCTGGCTGACAGCCAGCGGCACAGCTGTAGCCACGTACATTGTGTGTGTGTGTGTGTGTGTGTGTGTGTGTGTGTGTGTGTGTGTGTATTTCGCGGGTTGCTAAATGTTTTGTGGTGTGTGTTTATGTTGACAATGAGGTTTAATAACTGTGCTACACAAAACGTGCAGTCGGTTTCATTTTCATCGCCATTTGTAGTAGAGTTAGCAGGGTATTTTTATTTTAACTCTCGTCTCAAATTCGTCCCAAAATTATTTGTTATCCTCCCCGACACTATTTTTTTCGACGACGGGACGTCCTTAAGCTCGAGCCCTGAGCCTCTTGAATTACAACATATTGGATATTTTCTTATGGATTGACTCGCTTATATTTTTATAAAATAAATATGAAGGATTTCTTTGCATTTGAAATCCCAAGCTCATATAGATCATTCCAAGAACAGCCTATTTCCTTGCCGACTTTTAATCCACGTGACCGTCTGGAGAGCACACCTGACCTGAAGGCCATCAACATCCTGTTTCAACAACACAGGTTTCTACACCTGTTTTCTACTAGATGCTGCTTGAACCAAAGCTGTTATTTTTGACTCCCCATGACTGAGTGTTGAGTGAGGGATAGTCATAGTTTTTGGGAGAAAATGCTTCATATTTCCCCAGGGAAGGACCTAGAAACACAAAGCTGCATCGGATGATTTCACACGTCACAAACAGATGTCGGAACGGAAGAGAGGAGCGTGTGTTTTGCTCATCCAGTGGCTTTTAATAGTGACTGGCACATATTGTTGTGCTTTGCTGATGTGTGTGTTTGTGTGTGTACTGTATATGTGCGGCTGCATGCCTCACGCAGCTTCCAGAAATAGAAAGCAGGGCAAATTGTGAGAAGAGATGAGCGCCAACTGGGCCACACTGTCCTCAGGCCAGAGGTTCTCTCATACATATATATATACATATATATATATATATACACTTTTTCACAGGTCAAAGGTTAAAAGCATTCAGCACCCATTTCAAATATAGAAGCATACATTGTTCACAGTATTGTTACAAGCCATTATATATTTGTGTAGAATAGAATATCAGATGGTCTCACGGCTGTTATATTTACCTACAGAGCTTAAGTGCTGACTTTCACTAGTTCACTTCTTGTTTGTATTGGAGCAATTGTCGTGGGGCTTCCAGTAACTCGACTGGATACTGTTCTGCTTTCGTGGAACTGACGAGTGTTTACTACTGCCACATTTATAACATGGGTGTGAAGGGGAAGCACGAGTGTCATATTGCTGCCTTCACTGTGACCTCATGTATCCTGACCTCTTTAATCTTTGCTCCAATTAGCAAACTTCCAACCTGCCATACCCCGGGTGACGTCTGCCAATCTCTCACATTAACTCTGAAACAGATCATTATTTTATTTCATTTTTGTTTGAAAGAACCATGAAAATACATTTAAAAAATAATAATTCTCACCAAGCTTTAGATAGCACGATATACGAAAACAAGTATTTAAGTTATAAAACATAAATGAAAACAGCATTGGTCAGCCCTTAGGATTTATGTTTAAGTTTAAGAGCACATCGTTCCCTTTGTTGATATCATTCGGTTGTGCAAGTCATGCAGCTCAGCCAACCGTCAACAATGCATCTGTTTGGGAAAGATGATGCCTGGTAGTCATGGCTGCCAAGCAAACGAAGGTGTCATTGGGGAGATGGAGTGAAACACAAATAAATTGCAGCAATGATGTACTTACAAAGGTTGAACACAGGGGGGCACTCCTGCTCAAGCTAAGTCCATTCTGTGTGCATCTCTTCAGAACTACAGCCATGAAAATCATTTCACTATTAATACATCCTTCACAAGCTATATTTACATTTGAGTGATTGACACATTGTGTTTATTGACATCTTGTCTTGTGTGTGTGTTGTTTCCTCCTGCCGCGGCCTCTCTGGTGCCCACAGAGCAGTTAGTGTTGACCACCCTTAGGCTGGAGGCTTCTGACCTGCAGGACCCAGGCCAAGGGACTACTTTGTCAGCCCGCCTCACGGACAGGTTTGACAAAAGTGAGTTTGCTCGGATTAGACTGGATGACGCCACATTTGTGTCCGGAGTCCTTTTAGGTGCATGGCCACCAGCTATAGGAGCAGGTGTCTCCAAACCCCCGGCCCTCAAGAGCTACATGTTCTGCTACGTCTCTGGTTCTTATCTGAAATGATTTCCCTGCCGCGGACCCTGATAATCTGTAGCTCCTCGGGGCCTGGAGTGATTAATGCAGAAACCTTCCACCGCATGTGCGTCAAGAAAGTGGGGTCATGTCAGTCAGAGGTGGGAAGTAACTAAGTACATTTACTCACTGTACTTAAGTAGAATTTTGAGGTACTTTACTTGAGTATTTCCAAATGTATGCTACTTCTACTCCGCTACCTTTTAAAAGGTACATAATGTCATTTTACTTCACTACATTTATTTAACAGCTTTAGCTACTTTTAACAAAATGCATCTCTAAAAATTAAATGAGTAGACTAACTCTTTAAGTCAAATTGTTTTAAAGTTTGACAAAAGGTCAATCAGTATTTTGTCTACAGCAGTAAAATGCTACTTGATGCATTTTCTAGAAATGTCACATATATAAATATAATTATATACACATGTTAAGACCATTTCTCTGCACAATGATTACTTTTACTTTTTATACTTTAAGTACATTTAGCTGATAATACTTTTACTTAAGTAAGGTTTTGAACACATCCCTTTTACTTGTAATGAAGTGTTAACACAAATGAATTAGTACTTTTACTCAAGTAAAGCATCTGAATACTTCTTCCACCACTGATGTCAGACCATGCTAATGACGACAGATTGATTTCACTGGGCACTTTTAAGCTAGACTTTTATTACCAACACACATGCATGCTGTAGAACACAAAACACATCAGTGTGTGTGTGTACATGGCATGTCTATATACAGCATGTACATGAACATGGCTGCATGACACATAAGTGGATTTAGAGAGGAAGCACGTTGGTTAAAAGCATGTCGTATTGCTACGTTTTTCTGGCTTCAAACCCTGTATGTTCACCCCTATGTGTGCTAGCCTGGTCCCATACGTCAGTGTGTGTGTGTATATTTGTGAATATGCATACATTTGTGTTGTGTGTGTGTGCTGCTGTGTCACCTGTAGGATTATCAGGTTATATATTAGCAGCAGGTGAAGTTGCAGAGCAGACACAGAGGGGATTATCCTGCTCATTACAGTGGCTTCTTAAGAGGCTTTCTTGCCTTACTTCTTACTCGGTTGCAAATGGAGCCACTGGGACCTCCTGAGGCTAGTTCGACCAAGAACTGCAGATAGGGGCCTGCGGGTCGGGGACGGGACAGCCATGGGACGTGGAAGTCAGCCGAACCGACGACGCTCCGTTGGTAATGCTATTCTAACCTCACAGCAGGGTCGTAGGGGGAAGATCTCTAGTGTTTTCTCACGAGATTGAAAGGTTTTGAATCAGCGTTTAGCTCAAGAACACGTTGGCAGGCTCGTGGCTGTCGGGGGATTAAAACCTGAGACCTTGCTGTTACGGGGCAATAACTTTGCGGCTATGTTGCCAACTGTGGAAAACAAAATGTACTGAGATGCTCTCTGATTGCCATAGTGCTTTTTAAGATAACAGAAATGTGTAAACCGCCAGCATCTGTCCTACGTTACTTAAAGGTCCCATGTCATGGCCATTTCTACTGATCATAATTCCATTGTTGAGGTCTACTAGAATAGATTTATATTGTGCAATTTTCCAAACTCACATTGGTTTCTCAAACAGCATCTCTATGTGTATTCACTCTCTGTCCTAAATGGCTTGTTGGAGCTCCTGCCCCCCCCCTCCCTATGAGCCCAGTGGCCGTCTGCGAGACAGCGAGACACACCGAAACCCAGCCCGAACACACACACCCGCAGCCTGGCTGGGAGTTTGTGTGTGTGCTCATACACCGACTCACAGCCTCGCCGCGTCCCGCCGTCTCAGGGAGGAGAAATCGGCGGAGCTGCAGCTGAGAAAAGATTGAGTGTGTGTGTGTGTGTGTGTGTGTGTGTGTGTGTGTGTGTGTGTGTGTGTGTGTGTGTGTGTGTGTGTGTGTGTGTGTGTGTGTGTGTGTGTGAGGAAGTCTGAATGTAACGGCTCCAGGGATTGGTCTATTTGGACCAATGGGTCCATTTGGGTATGGGCACGTCACTGTACCCAGGAAGAAAACAATGGAAAAAGAGAAATGTCCAACGAGGCGTTCTGGGGCAGCAGACAGGTCTTTTCTGTGTTAGAGTTTTACTCGCTACAGGGTGTACTTTGAGGGTTTGTGACTCTGCAGACCGTTTACATGCAGAACAAGCTACATAACAAACAAGGGGACGGGTGATAACTGGAAAAACATGTCATGGGACCTTTAAATCAAATGTATTTTACACAACTGTATAAGGTCAGTTGAAAGCAATAATATTAAGTTTAGATAAATATTATATTAGGTTCAACTTAACATTATTACTTTCAACCAACCTAATACAGTTATGTGACATTTCTTGACATAATACATTTAATTAAAGACAGCATTTCAGTTTTTTCATTTAACCTTGTCGGGTGCTTCAACAGGATGATTGAAGCTATTCTTCTGTGACTGCTGTTTTGATTATTTCCTTTCTGGCTCATTCCACTCTGGTTGAGGTGTTTGAATGAAGTGCATTAAACATGATTCAATTAAACATGTAAGCCCCGAAAGCTTTTATTTATGCCATTTAAAAGCACAATTCTGGCAAGTCTGTGCTAATTAACGCGACGGCTGTTTCTTGAGTCTTGGAACCGAGGCACAGCTTCTGGTGAAATATGCTCTGCCATACTGGAAAATGTGGATGAATTATGCAGCCTGTCTCTATCAATTATTCAGCAGCCAGCTTGCTTTTTAGCAGGAAAACTTTGGCTCCAGTCCAGGGAAACTTGGGGCTCAGCCCAAAAACCAAAAGTTAATACTCCATTTTAAGATATTATGAAGTGAGAGATCTTCAAATGACATGCATGATGGATTTAATTGTCTTTGCCCTTGTTCTTCGTAAGGGAACAGTTGATTTTATCGGCCCATTGTGTAAAATGTGCTTTAATAGGCTTCTAATGACACAACTATATGTTAAGAGAGATAGTAAAAGGGCTGTTAAGCTTCCCTTTAATGGACGGATGTTTGGCTTATTAATGTTGTTTAGAAGAAAGGGGACACGTCTTGTTTACGCCTCACCAACCAAGTGGGTGTTTGGTAGAGCAGGGTATGAGATCAAAGTGTTTGTCGAGGTTCGGATCGGTCTAGTCTTACCTGTCCTGGTCGCAGGTTATCGGACCTATATGGTACCTGGATGCTTCACGTGTAATTGACCTGGCTGTGACTCTGCTGGGGTTTTCTGCTGACTCATCTGTGGCACATTGGTAATGAGGTTGACTGCGCTCCATCAGAGATGAGTAACCGAGGCATTGATCCCTCCTCACAAATGAATCGGAGCTGAAGTGGGCTGCTGAGAAAACGGCTATTGATCTGCTCAGAAAGGTAGAGGGTTAAAAGTGGAGGTAATAGCACAAAGAAGAATAAGCAACCAGGTAGAGAAAGAGTAGACCATCAATAACTCCTAAGTGGTTACAAGCCGATCCTCCTACTGTATGAAATCATTAAGAGAAGTTCATGAGATGGAGAGACTGACCTTTATTAAGACTAAGAAACAACTGGTGTCCTTGAAGATGGTCGAAATGTTTAAAATATATCTCGAAATGAATATGATTGTGAATATACCCTACTCAATTACTATGGAGAACACTAATTCTATTAACCTCGAGGACACTTTGCAGTTATCCATAATACTCAGGAATATTTCTCGTAACTCTAGATCGCATACGTGCTGAAGTTGCTTGTTTATTGTGTCGTTTATTGTCTGGAAAAAATCAATAAAGTCGTAGTGTAAAAAAGAAAAAGGAAACCCTGAGAAAAGATCTGAACAGGATTGCTTCGTGATAGGACCGTGATCACAATGTTTGTCACCCTTCACTACCTTTAACCTTCTATCATCTTCAGTCATTTCCACAATCACCAGCTATCTTGATTGACCTCAGTGCCATTCGCAGTGTGAGTGCAGGGCAGAGATTGTGACTTATAGCTCTGTTAGGTGCAGGCGTAATAGCCCAGTCAGAGTTATAGAGATGAGGGATAGGCTGCCTCATTATCATTCTGCTTGGATAGACTTTGACCCTTGCTCTCTCGGCTTGGTTTGGTGAAGCACTAAGGTTGTAGTTTTTCAGAATCAGAAATCAAAATCAGAATTCCTTTATTAGTCCCACAGCGGGGACATTTACAGTGTTAAAGCTAAAGTGGCCTAGCAGGTTAAAAGGGCATGCAATAATAAAAGAAAAGCAGACATAAGTAATAAAATCAACATAAAGACAAACAACCATGGTTAAAAAAGGGTAGCAGCAATTTAAAAAACATGTCTATGAAGTGTTTTGCTCAAAGTACCAAGCAGATCACCCATTCTAGCCATGCCTCATATCAAAAGGGCTGATTTGGGGTATAAAGGTTTAAAAAAAAAAGAAAAAAGGAGGGGGCTGAGTTCATGCGGGACCCGGCAGCTACTGTCTAAACTAAATACTGCCGTGATGAAATTACGTCATATCGGACGCAAATCTGGATCAGCTCCGTTGCAGCCCCGTTTATAGAGATTTGGGTACGGAGGAAAAGAGAGAGGGTTTTATTTTTCTGACGCTGCGTGAGTTCCCCGACACACCAAGTGCATTTTGCATGATAGGTCCCCTTTAAGTAAAACTAAGTGCTGAAACGGCATTACAAAACAGTTTTTAGACGTATTTTATAAAAATAGGAATTTCTTACATATAAGTGATTTTAGCGATTTAGTGCGATTGCAAATAAGTGTTTATATTGCACATTGCAGGTTTATGGCACTTTAACGGTGATGTCGGTCTTTAAAAATGGTGGAATGACTATGAATTTTAGTACAATAAAAAGTGGAATTTTACCTCTAATAAATACAAAATCCAAAGAAATGGTCTGGCTTAGATAGAATAATCTCCAGATGCACTTCAAAGTGTATTGTACACGTTTCCGGTAAACACACACAACTTAATGTCTCTTTCTATGTTAAAGTGGAGTTCTCGATGTGATTATAGTGCATCCAGTATAGATAAACCTGGCAGTTTTTCGTCTGGGTCGCTTTACAATTCATCGCCTGCTTCACAGCGGCAGGCTTGAGTGGGATATAATGATATTTTGGATATTGAGGGGAGAGAAAGGCCCGGATTGTATAGTGCTGCAGAAATAGAGTTTCAAGACTGCGGAAATTCAATCTGCTAAACCCTGGCAGTGCTTATTCGTTTCTAAATTATTTACGCAATTAGCCTGTTGTTGTTTTAACTTACAGCCTCGCTCACAGACAGACACAATGCAGTCATACCAAGAAACTAGAAGATCCCACAAAAATAAGAATTACACTTCAGCTCTCACAGCTTGTATGCTGGAATGTAATTTAGTAAATATACTCAAGTATTTTACCTAAAAAGTATTTTTGACATAATTGTACTTTACTATCTAAAATTGGCTCAACATTCACAAACTAAAACATTAACAGGCTCTTACATGGGTTTGTTAGAGATAAACACACAGGATAATATAGTTTTCCATACTAATATAACACTGCATGCTGATTGCTTTTAGTTTAAATAATTTAAGTATATCAAGCTGCTAATACTTCTGTACTTCTACTTAGGTAACATTTTAATTCAGGACTTGTAATGGAGTATTTTAAACCGTAGTATTTCCACCTTTACTTTTCAACCTCTGCTTGTTGACATAGTATTATCAGACAGGATGTGACCTGCTTCCCAGTAAATGCACTCCAGGTAATTATATTTGATCTCATACTGGATTTGCATCTATGCAAACTACTGACAAAGTTGTGAATCACGCAGTGAGTGGACAGGGTTGTTGACATAGTATTATCAGACTAATGACAGGATTGTGTGGTTTACCTGTAGCTTTGCAGATAAATGCACTCTAGATTATTCATTCATTGCATTCTAACTATCTATGCAAACTATTGAGAAAGTTGTGAATCCTCCAGTGAGCAGACACAGGATCACAATAAATGATCTCCTGATGCATGGCTCCTGCCTCATGGATGTCACTTGACCCGACCACAAGATCTCAAGGCGATCTCAAGGCGATATCAGGCTTCTGGCCCTTTAAAAGCGGAGCCCAAGCTTTCCCCTCCGCAGCACTGAAACACTGAATGGCTTCCTCCTGTTGTTGAATGCACTAGTGAGGCGCTCGCTATCAAATCGGAGTTTTAGGGGCTCGTTAAACCCGATAAAAAGGCGTTTGGAGGCGGCAGGTGGCCAGATGACACGGCGGCGGAGCTTGCAGTATCTTTCACCGGGAGTTTACTCAGCAGCGAGGCCTAAGGAGGAGCGAGAAGGCTCGGGCACGCTGCATCTATCCACACCCAGGTCCGCTGTAGCAGCTGAGTAAACTGAGCAGACCTGTTTGCATTGCTCTCACAATTTCCCTGCAGAAACATACATACTATCAAAATTAAGGGTAGAAAATAGTCCCGCTGCAGGAGAGCGTGCAGGGAGATCCCGACGCGTAAAATGGTTGGAGATGACAAAGCCTTGGCGGGGTATGGGAGGCAGAGGGGGGAGGGGGGGGGGGGGGGGGGGGGGGGGGGCGACATGATAAGCGTGCCCCCTCTTCCCACTTTTTTTTAGCATCATTTCTGCATGTAATGACAGTCGTTATGCACGCCGGGTCTTCTCCTCTCCTGTGTTACATATGGACAGGTTGCTGATAACATAACACACGGCGTGTTTGTTCGCCATTGTGCATCCCTCAGCACATCCATTATACACAGGGGGGTCCCGTGGGCGTGTGTGTGCATTGACGGTACCTGCATAATAATACTGAAAGACAAGGGGGGTGTTTATACCGGGAAACGTCATTGAATCGACCGCACCGGCTTCAGCACACATCAGCACAGAGTAGCATATCCTCTAGTCCTGATTGGGAGCCTTTTGAACCTCGTCCGTCTGTGTGTGTGTCTCTCTCCCACTATCTCCCCCCCTCTCTCTGTCTCTCACCACCTCTCCACTGACACTCACCCAGCCTCGCCTCTCTCCCATCACTCTAACGGTGCAGGACCTGCGTGCTCGTCCGGAGGATACCGAAAGGCAGATGATGAGATGTCCGGGACTACTTCCCAGGCGGATCCGGTAGACGCCACCGCCCGATCGGTGCTGCTCAACGGGACACAGACCACCAAGTTCTGCGACAACCATGTCAGGTGAGTGGGCTTTCACTGCATGTTGTGTACCTGAAATGCTCTGTTTTTCACCTACTACTCCTACTACAGCATGCTTTGTAAACAGCATGGAGAGTATATCAAAACTGATCTGACTTTTATTTTCGGTTCATTCTGAGTGATAAGCTCTCTATCAGTGTGTCAACTTCAGTTTCAGTAGAGTATTTCAATTGTTGCTACTTTGTACTTCTACCCCACTACAGTTCAAAGGTACATCATGTGATTTTACTCCACTACATAAATGAACAGCTTTATCTACTTTTCACAAAATACATGTCTAAAAATAAGTCACCAAGTCATTTAAATATTTTACAAAGAGTCTACAGTAAAACGCTTATCCAGACATGTCACATATACAATTTTATAAACACCATTTTTCTGCACAACTTTTACTAAGTACATTTTGCTGATTGATATGATGCTTGGTAGCAAACAGCCGGTCGAGTAGATGAAAATGTATCTGATACTTTTTCATTATTGTCTGTTTATTCAGAGGTGGTGATAAGCTCTCTGAGTGTGTTAACTTCACTTCCAGTATTTGGGTCAGCTTCTTCTGTGTCTTCCTAAAGGACACTGCAGCTTTCTGGATATTTGCTTTAGAGCAGCTTTACACCCGTATTGTCAGGTTGAAGGACATCCTTGTATGTTTTTCCTCCCGTCATGACATGTGCGGCGAGCAGACTTTGGACCACTGAGGATTAGCTTTTTCTCTCTCCCTTAAACATGTCTCTCTTTCTTTTAGTTTTGCTTTAAATCGCAGGTCAAGCTCTATTGATAAGGCTTTTTTAATAAGTCACCGATTACTACACCTATGACCTAGGAGGCTGATGTATGTCTCTGCCTGAAGTCCACTTGGGAATCTCGGCTTAACAACTTTACATGACTGTGTTGCTTAATCAAATGTCCTAATGAATATTCAATGCTGCCGATAAGAGTAAAGTAACCACACTTGCCTGTGTTTATTTAGCAAGTTAGATGCTGCGTATCACAGTGCACTGAGATTTTTGACAAATTGTAAAGCACTTACGCATCACTGTACCCTGTATACCAAGGCGGTTATGCCATCACTTACTGTACGGAGGCTCAGTCACTGGTACTTTTTCATTTACAAAGCCATGTTGGATAAACTACCATCTTATATCTGCTCCCTGATCTCTCGGCGAATTGAAAGTACTTATTGCCTGAGATCGCATGCTGTGGTTTTATTAAATGTGCCAAGTGCTAGGACTGTCTTAGGGAAGAAAGCTTTTAGATGTGCAGCTCCACTAACATGGAACAGTCTGCAAAAAGAATGGAAAATTACCAAGCTAGTACTGTTACATGTTTTTAAAGCTCGGTTGGATGCTACTCAATCAGATGCTGTTGGTACCTGTACATGTGGTTAAATATGTAAATTGTAATCCCTGTACATTTTGCTGTATGATGTCCTTTTGTTGTTCTGTTGTTTATGTCTTCTTGTGGAACCTACTGCTGCAGGTCTCCCTTGAAAAAGAGATCATTGATCTCAATGGGATTTTACCTGGATAAATAAAGGTTTTGAATTTGAATTGAATTTATTTCAGAAAGCGCCTTAGCTGTGTGTGTGATTTATGAATCCTAAGAGGTTTAGTACTTGTCGTCAGGACTTTTTGTGATATAAAGTGGACTACTAAGTCTTGAAACACAACAGCAAAACGGCGGTAAAAAAAATGACTTGGCATAAGACGGTTGGATATTTACACCCCTCACCAGCCAAACACTAGTAATCTATTAAGTGTTGTTAATATATAATAGCCATTTAGGTGGTGTTACCAAAAAGCTTATTTTTCAGCCTGTAGGCAGTCATGAGCAGTGTCATACTAAAGTGAAGAAGTCTCTTTTATAAGTATCATCCTAAGTATTGTCTGCATATTTCATGGGTTGTTTGAGGCCGTAATTATTGTATTTACAGTTTAAATTAGACAGTTTAATTTGTCCCATGTCTTTATCTTTTATTATTCCTATTTGTTTGCACTTTCTGTGCTTGGCGCCATTGGGCTGTTCTGTGAGTTGAAGGATTGTCATTGACATTCAGCGGTCTGCCATTTACTGTCAGGAGATTTCATTTCACTTTTCAACAGAGCCTATTTGAACTCTAGGAATAAGATTAAGGTGAGTGCTCCCTGGCTTCTCTCATTGGGTCACATGTGCCCTGCGCTGCATGCTGATTGGACAGCCAGGAGCACTCTGATGTCCCTGTGTTCCTGTAACTCTTTAGTTTACGTTTGAAAGGTTCAATAGCATTATTGATTTCTCAGAGATTAAGCCTTGTAGCTTTTATCTGTGTACTCGACTGGCCTCCTCTCAAATCCCTAGGCCTTCCACACTTTCATATTTCACTGTGGATGTGTTGATGCAAACTGAACGTTAGTGCAGCAAAGTCATCTGCTCTTTTATCCTTCAAATCTACTCACCTTGGTTTGCTTATTGTGTTCTTCCACTTAGGGGGATGACTTCTCCCTGTCTTCAAAAGTATTTTCTTTCAGCCTATATAAAGAAAACAGAACTTTCCCTTATTCAAAAACATGTCAATGCGGCACAGCTGCAGGAGAGCCTCCCCCTGTAGCTAACAGCTGCTTACACCACCAGTATGTTGGACGTCTACAGAATGAAAAATAACACACAGCTCGATGCCCGCTCCAATGGAAACGTGTGTGTTTGTGCGTGTACGAAATGTGATATCACTTGACTTTGATTAGATTAAGGCAGCTTTATCTACTGGATCGTAGGTGTAGTATCACCAACTCTGAGCTATGCAAAGCATCGGGGTCAGGACAGTGTGAGTGTGTGTGTGTGCGACAGCTGTTGCTACTCGTCTTGTGTGTAAAGTCGTGCTCTTTGTAGTTTTGTGTGTGTGTGGGTGAGACGGATGGAAAAAGCGGTTCACCTCATGGAGATTCTGGACTGTGATGGGAGGGTTACTTTTTACCCATTTGGTCAATGCACTTGTTGCACTCACTTTCCATTAAATAAACACTCCTACCATTCACTCAGTCCGCACAGGAAATAAAAAGGCAGTCCTTTAATTGGATGTGGACTTCTATTTTTGTATTTTTAGCGCCTTGAAAAGCTTTTAGCTCCTGGCTAAAATGAAGCCAATCAATACAGCTGTCTGATCAATACTGCTGATTAACAGACAAGTTGAGGTGGCCAAGGTTTTTTCACCTATTTTATACGTCTAAATTTGGTTTGCTGGATTTAAAGTATTTGATTATTTATAGGTGTGATGTGTGTGCACCCCATCATGGCACTCAATTTGCCCTCTGGACTACAATTGAGTGTTTGCTGCAATATTGAAACCCAAATGGATTCAGTTACTCAGAGAGCGTCAGGTGAAAACACCATTAGCACACAATTTATGCATGAATTCAAACTTTAGCTAATGCATTACCTGCTCTGTCTCCATCTGTCTCATTATAAACAAGTCGTAAAGTGTTTTCTTCTTCTTCTCTTCTGCAGTACCACCAAGTATGGAGTCCTCACCTTCCTGCCCCGGTTCCTCTATGAGCAGATCAGGCGCGCTGCCAACGCCTTCTTCCTGTTCATCGCTCTCATGCAGGTAAACCCCACGCACACAACTGCACCAGTGATCGCCGCTGATTCCCACCTACGCTGTAGATGACACATCCTGAAAATGTATTAAAACATTCCAGGAATCCCACAAGCTATTATGAGTTATGGATTATTGAGTATTTCTCTACATGCCTAAAGCTAGTATTTGGTACATTTCCTCCAGGTCTTATTCGGGAATATCTGGGAAGTCCATTCTCTCTGAAAGCCCCCAGATAAACTTCCTGGAAGAGCCTTTCAATGTGTAACAGATTTAAGGTGTACATTATTGAGCATTTCTTTTAAACCAGAGAGTGTGGGATGGTAGTTTTGGTGATTCCCATCTTGTTAGTAATAGACGTCTTGACAATAATGTTACAAAGGCCATCAGGTCCAGAGGCAGCTGAGAGATGACATGTATATCTCATCAGTCATCATCAATCATAGGAGCTAATGCCTCCCTGCTATCTTAATCCCCACAAATGGGAGCAGATGATGGACGCTTGTTTTGTTTATCCCTCTGTTATCTTCATAATAAACGCTGCACTGCTTTCCAACACGGCTCTGCCCCCCCCATCAAAGATTAATCACATTCAGAACACTCATTCATTATGCTCCACCTCCTTCCTGTTCTAATGTTTTCCTGAGAATCTCTGTAGTGCTATCATTATGGGTGCTTTCAGCCCCTTAACACCAGGGGCCTGTACTACGAAGCTGGTTCAACCTAACCTGGATATGTTTGAGTTAGCCGGTTGGCCTAATCCAAAACATACGCGCTCTCACTAAGCAGTCCTACGTTTTCCCTGAAGTTAGCCGGCTAAGCGAAAATCCTGCTTCGTAGTATACCCCCCAGCACTGATAACTCTCTTATCAGCAAATCCCCGATGTATCGCCGACGGGTCGCTACACCACGCTGGTCCCGCTCATCTTCATCCTCACTGTGGCCGGGATCAAGGAGATCATTGAGGACTATGTGAGTGTCTTTAACAGAAGGGACTACTTTTTGTATTTAAAGTATTTGTAATCATGTGATGATGATATGCCAGATGTGCCACAACACTGTCTGTAAATATTACACTTTATATGTGCAATATACCCTCACGCAATTCACAATTATTTTTCCTTTCAATTAATTTACAATCTGTAAACGGTACCAGCTACCATTTTATCCATCAAAACACATTACACAAATGTATAACCCAACAACAACAAATATTAATAAATATACTACTACTTTTTTCAACCTGGTGTACTTGTATGCTTTTTACTTATTGTGTTTTTTATTATTAATACTGTGTGCATACTTTAGATTTTTTAATATGTAAGTCTATTCTCTTTACTTACTTCTTCTGCTGTTGTGATAATGTACATTTCCCCTGTGCGGGACAAATACAGGAAATCTGGTTCTGATATATTAAAAGCTGCTTCTTCTGCGTTTTAACAGAAAAGACACAAAGCAGACAACACCGTGAACAACAAGACAACAATAGGTATGCGTGTGTGTGCTCGTCGACTGTCTGTGAGTTTTCCATGAGTGTGTCTAATCCTGTGGGTTTTCCTTTCATGGCTGACTGAATGGCTGTTGTCTGTCACTCACTATAGTTCGAGCCCCAGACAAAAAAGTTTAGTGGCCATGAATTGTGTATGAGTGTGGCTCTATAGGCTGACTGATGGCTGTGTTGTCCTTGTTTCTCAGTGCTGCGGAGCGGAGCCTGGCAGACCATCATCTGGAAACAGGTATCGCTATCATCACACTCTGCATCTCTGTCGCTCTCTCATCCCCCCAATGACTCAGTTTTACCATTGACTTAAATACTTAAAGAGGCCCCATTGTGCTTTTTAAGGTGACCTCATGTTCTGTTGCGGCCTGCCAGGCTTGTTTTTAATCAATTTAAAGCACTTGTTTTGAAAAGTGCTGTATAAATAAGTGTGTATTATATCAAAATGATTGTAAAGTAATACTGCAAGGGCACCTAGGATAGATGGTGAAAGCAAACACATTAATGTAATAAAAGTATGGTCTAGTTTTAGTTAAATTGGGGATTCAAATATAAAATGTCTTGGCTTGTTAAGTTATTCCATATTTTCTTCCTTTTGTGGCAGCACTGTAGTCTCTCAGTCTGCGCTTGCTCAGGATCTGTCTGTAAAATGATACTAGTCCAATTAGTATTGACGTTTCAGAGCCAGATAACAAGTGAGTTAGTGGGCAATCTTTCCAATATTCCACATAGTTGAATTATACAGTTTTCTGCACTTCCTCTGAACCAGTAAGCGTTTTCTTCCGGTGTCCGGAGCAAAATGAACCCCCTGTTCTCACGGAACAATGCATGTCCACTGTGTGTCCTTGTAGCACGAATAACCATTTTCTCTAGATGGGGTCTCTCTTAGATTGTACTCATTAACCGAGTCAAGCTGTGTACAGTCTTGCTCCAGCAGCTCAAATCAAATCAGACTTGAGTCTTTGTTGTTTATTGTACAGCAGGAATGTAGCCCCCTTGTTACGCAAGGTCAGAAAAGGTGGAGGAATTTGTTCCAGCTGCTCCGCTGACTCAATAAAGTCCATGTTAAAGAGAGGTGGTGACAAGATGTCCTTAAAATGCTCTCTTTTCCTTGAAATTAGGACTTTTCTTTTAACACCATTTTATTTTCCTTTTCTGTTATTTACATGCTTGTATTATTTTTATTTTTGCCTGTCTTGCTTTGGTTGCAGCCTAATCGAAAGAGTTAAAGCTACGCACCGCTGTGCTTCCTGTCACCTTATCTCAAGACTTCCTCTCTCTCTGTTGGCTGCCTCTAGGTTGGTCACTAAATAACCTGCTTCTTGTTTCCTCTCTCCCCCCCTTACCCCTTCCATGACCCCTTATCTTACCCTTGACTCCCCTCCTTCTCTTCACCTCCTTCCTCTCACGCTGTTGCACTGCTCCGTCCGGCCACCAGGTGGCAGTAGGAGACATAGTGAAGGTGACCAATGGCCAGCACCTTCCAGCTGACATGGTCATTGTGTCCTCCAGGTCAGATGTGTGTGTGTGTGTGTACACATGTTTGTCTGTTGATATATACATATATGTGTTCTGATAATGTGTTGTGTCTCACTTTCTAACTTCTAATTATTTTCATAATCAGTCTTTTGATTTATCGTTTGGTATTGTGAATTCTAATTCTAGATTGCAAGAACATAAAGTACTATCCGAAACAGTCAGTTATTATTAAGTCAATGGATTTAATATTTAATATTCTCAATGCTCATTGACTGATTTCCTGTTGGTTGATGTCTAACTAACTTTTAGCGCTTCAATATTTTGATGCCTCTTGTCCCCAGCGAGCCGCAGGCCATGTGTTACACTGAGACGTCCAACCTGGATGGAGAAACCAACCTGAAGATCAGACAGGTAAGAAACATCGCTATGTTTGTAAGGTTTCTCAATGCATGGTCAGAGAGGAAATTCTCCCCCTATTTAAATGTTGGCAAAGAAATATGTAACACTTCTCCTCATACGCCTGATATTTGCCTCCACTTGGGTCTTCTATCCATTATGTTTATTACAGTTTGACCCGTTTTGAATTATGATCCATGATTTACGGTAATGTACTCTGTTCTAATCCTGTTTGTCAAAAGTACTCCATCAAAAAACTTTCCTTGATTTATGACTTATGATTTTATTTCCCAGGGTCTCTCGCTCACGGCTACCTATCAGACCCTGGAGGATTTAATTGGTCTGTCTGGTCGTCTGGAGTGTGAAGGCCCCAACAGACACCTGTACGACTTCACTGGGACTCTGCGGCTGGAGAACCAGAAGTGAGAGAGACACACACAGTTATTTTTTCTAACTTGAAAGTCAAGAGTATTACAAATAAAAGTATGTTTGTATAAAACTGGCCAAGAGAGGAAGATACATCTATATAAATATCATAGATGTTTAAAGTCTTGCCCAGCTTTTCATACAGCAAAAAAATTGCATAAATTAGGAATTTATGAGAAAAATTAAAGCTTGAGAAGTGACTAGATAAGAAGGACTCAGCAGGTTGCTCTAAATCTGCATGAATGTCTCCTGTGTTGTTGCTGATTACCTCCCTCTCTCCCCTCAGTCCCGCTCCTCTGGGTCCCGACCAGGTGTTGCTGCGCGGCGCTCAGCTCAGAAACACGCAGTGGGTTGTGGGAATTATTGTCTACACTGGCCATGACTCTAAACTGATGCAGGTAAACCCAACCTGATGTCTGAATTCAGTAAATTATTTATAATGTGTGGCTTCAAGGCAGGTTTAATAAGGATCTGTCTCACTTACACATTAATAACCGGGAGCACATCCAAGTCTCTGTGTTTGGATTGCTGACAGATTTGTGTGTCAAATATGATTTGTAAATGAGTGACACATTTTAATTAGTGTTGAGTGTTGAAAAGGCTGCTGCGATTGACTTCTTCCCAGTGAAACCATTGACGTTCCATTAAAACTGAACCCTCATCCAGCGACATCTTAATGTGAGTGTGCTTGTGTTGTATTCATTGTTGCAGAACTCCACCAAGGCCCCTCTGAAGCGCTCTAACGTGGAGCGGGTCACCAACATGCAGATCCTGGTCCTGTTCTGCATCCTGCTGGTCATGGCCCTGATCAGCTCTGTGGGCGCCGCCATCTGGAACAAACAACACACCGAAGAGTCCTGCTGGTACCTGAACCGGGCCGGTGAGAACACACACACACACACGATCATTGTCGACCGGCTTTGTAGTCATCTCCAGAAGGTGTGCGCTGGATGTGCGCTGGGAGTGGAGCTCGTCGGGCCCGGCATGCTCCAATCACAATCTTCGGGGGCAGACCAGGAGATGGGTAGCCAATGACATCAGGGCAACCACACTGCTCATTTACATAGAACACATTCAAAACAGAGTTAACAGGACCGGGGAGGCAGCGGCCCACACACACACACACACACACACACACACACACACACACACACACACACACACACACACACTTCACCAGAGGAGGAAGAAGTACTCAGGTCTTGTACTTCAGTAAAAGTAGAGCAGTGTTTCTCAAACTTTTTCATACCAAGGACACTTAACCAATAAAAAAACACTCGCGGACCACCTAACTCCAAAAATATTCAAAAACACAGTTTTTCTAGAACAGATTACAAATCGCCTGAAAATGGTATAAACAAGTGGCAACATGTTTGATGAAGGTGTTGCGCTGGGCTATATCATGCAATCGAAAGTGAAACGTAAGCTCGCTCCATTACGGAGAAATTCCCGCGAGAGAGTGCGGAAAACTACCACCAGTGGTCCGCGGACCACACTTTGAGAAGCACTGATAGAGGTACCAGAGTGGATTTGTAATAGAAAAATATTATACTCACTTGCTTAAAGGTGGGGTAGGTAAGTTTGAGAAACCGGCTCGAGCTACACTTTTTCTTATATTCCATGGAATGCTCTTAACATCCCGATAGCAATGAATATCTTCAGTGCTTTGACAATAAATACATAAATAAATGTCATCTGTGGAAGCCGTGGCGCTGTAAAAAGCACGACCAATCATTTGAGCCGGCCCGGCTAAAGTAACTGGATGGCCTACCTGCCTGTCAGCCTTCCATCTGGGCACAAACTTATCTCGTGCCCTCATTGGTCATGTGCACGTTCTTGTGTGTTGGAGGAGGGGCTCTGTAAGGAAGTGGCAGATTTTCTCCAGCTGTGTATTTTCAAATTCTAGCGCACTCGAGCTAGTTTGTCCGAAATTACCTACCCCACCTTTAAATAATATAATTGCGTGATTCGTATTTGCTAATGTTTATCTATATTTACTACTTCTCACTTCTTAGCTAAGCTTGGGAACATTCCTTATTAAGAACATTTGTTGCAGTGTTGTTAGTTACACTCTATGTGCACCAACAGTATGACCTTCAGCTTCCTGATGTCCTCCCTAACTTCCAGAATGCTCCTTTCATTATCACCAAGCTCAACCCCTCCCTTTCTCCTCTCTCTGTGTTTTAAATATCCCAAACTCTACTCTTGGTCTTTCACTCTGCAGACTGTATGACAGCTGAATGGTTTGATTCTCTATCCACATTTGATAAATACATTCCCACCACAGCATTCAAAATGTTATTCAAGTAAAAGTACAAAAGTATTAGCATCAGAATATACTTAAAGGTAAAAGTAAAAATGTCTTCAAATTGGCCCATTTTAGAATAATATATATGATATGTTTTGATTATAATTACAGACGACATCTCCACTAACTTTGCGTACAACCTGCTGACCTTCATCATCCTGTACAACAACCTGATCCCCATCAGCCTGCTGGTCACTCTGGAGGTCGTCAAGTTCACACAGGCGCTCTTCATCAACTGGGTACTGTGTGTGTGTGTGTGTGTGTGTGTGTGTGTGTGTGTGTGTGTGTGTGTGTGTGTGTGTGTGTGTGTGTGTGTGTGTGTGTGTGTGTGTGGTGTGTGTGTGTGTGTGTGTGTGTGTGTGTGTGTGTGTGTGTGTGTGTGTGTGTGTGTGTGTGTGTGTGTGTGTGTGTGTGTGTGTGTGTGTGTGTGTGTGTGTGTGTGTGGTGTGTGTGTGTGTGTGTGTGTGTGTGTGTGGTGTGATGTGTGTGTGTGTGTGTGTGTGTGTGTGTGTGTGTGTGTGTGTGTGTGTGTGTGTGTGTGTGTGTGTGGTGTGTGTGTGTGTGTGTGTGTGTGTGTGTGTGTGTGTGTGTGTGTGTGTGTGTGTGTGTGTGTGTGTGTGTGTGTGTGTGTGTGTTTCCCGTCAACTGTGCCACTGTTGTCCTCCCACTTTGAAAGCATATCGTATAAATGATAACTTAAATCTGTGTTTCACATTTAAAGCCAAATTCCTTCTGACTTATTACCAAACGAATTTACAGTTAAAAGAACACATTTTTACAGAATCAAACCACATTTTATAGTGAATAAAAGGCAAACATGTTGAATGAATTTATAAAATCGACACTGGAAGACCACAGATGCTATACATCCCTAATTCAAAGTAGATATCATTATTTTTTTTCGGCAAAGAACATCATCCATTTGTTTTTAATACTTAGCTGCTATTCCCCCCCCTCAGGACATGGAGATGTATTACGCAGAAACAGACACACCAGCCATGGCTCGAACGTCCAATCTGAATGAGGAACTAGGACAGGTCAGTCTTCGTCACAATGACTCACTTTAAGATTGAAAATAGGTGCTAAGTACTTGTTTTTCTCCATGTTCTGTTCCAGGTGAAGTATCTCTTCTCCGACAAGACAGGGACTCTGACCTGTAACATCATGCACTTTAAGAAGTGTACCATTGCAGGACTCACATATGGGTCAGTCATCTCTCTTTTGTTTTCTTGTAAATTATTTATTTCTTCTTTATCTATATTTAAAGTCCACCTGCAAAAAGAAAGGTAGCTTAGAATGCCACCTAATGCAAATAACCTCCTTTAAATCTCTATTTTTATACCACATCATGTCTCGGACTAACTTGTATTAAAACATCAGCTGTTTATAATTGTATTGAACTAATCAAATCATCAACTGATTGATTCCTTTCCCAACACACCCTCATCCATCACTGCAGCCACTTCCCTGACCTTGACTGTGATCGTTCAATGGATGACTTCAGGTGAGTTTCCTCTGATCGGCTCATCTGGCTTCCTGACTTTCCTCATCATTTCAGGCTTTGCATGTGTTAAATAAATGCGCTATGATCACTAAAAACTCACCTATCATGGTCTGGAGTGCTATTCGAGTGCCAAACATATTCTTTTATTCTCAGTATTAGACATTATTTGGCCATAAATGTATTTTTCTTCAACAGCACTCTGCCGGCCAGCCCCAATAACTCTACAGAGTTCGACGACCCAACTCTAGTCCAAAACATCGAGACTCATGTAAGTGTGTCCCAAGCTTTCCTAACATGTTTTTATTTAAAGAGGCCCTAATATGCTCATTTGATGTCCCGCTCTTTAGCCTATAGAGAGGCGAAGTCCCTCCCTTTCCGGGGGACTTCCATGGGACCTTATTTCGGAAAAGTTATGTATTGAAGTCAATGGAGAGAGAAAGATTATATTTTGATCCCGTTTGAATTGTGCCACGAATTACACATATGATGTTTGTCAATTTAAAAGACAATTTTGCAAGTCAAGAAAATAAAAATGTGAAGTAACACTTTTTTTTGTGTGAAACCGCTCAATGAACTACATCTCCCGTCTCGCACCACACACCAAGACGGCCGTCACGTTGAAACATTTCACTCCTTCCTTTCAGAACGAGGCAGAAAGTATTAAAAGAGGTGAAAATCACTCCAAGTCTGGGCGCGTTGAGAGCTGTGCATACACACAAGGGGAGTTAGTCGGTTCCATGAGAGCCAGCATGCGGGACCGGGATTCTGGGATTTGTAGTCTTTCTAGTTGCGTATTTTTCCTAGTCTTATATTTCAACAGTTTTACGACAAACTGTGACTTTTTTGACACGGAAATGATTTGTTAAGATTGACAAACATCATATGTGTAATTCGTGGCACAATTCAAACGGGATCGAAAGATATGTTTTCTCTCTCCATTGACTTCAATACATAATTTTTCCGAAATAAGGTCCCATGGTGGTCACCGGAAAGGGATGGACTTGGCCTCTCTATAACGTACAATGTGTTGGAGCGCTAGCCAATTGGAACGCAACTGTTAGATACTGATGTCACTATTTTCCAGAAGAAAACAAAGGAGTCCAATGGAGGCTTTCCTTGGGAGGGAAGTTTGGGATTTTAGCCTTTGCAGACCATTTGCATAAACCTATAAAACACACTACATGAGAGTGTTGGGTTCAGAATTCCAGAAAAGACAGACAACTTCTAAGTCACAGGCAGCAAAGCTGTAATCTGTAACCACCAAATCCGTCAAGAGCCTCGAACCTCGTGCGACAATACATTTTATTACACAGGGCGTTGCCCGTACATTTATGATTGGTCAAGACTAGCTGAAGAGATACCGCAGTTTAGACTTGGTTCTCTTTGGTTGGTGCGCAGACTCAGATAGAGTCTCTTGGCAACACGATCCTCCAATCAGCATTCGGCCGGCCTGTGGAAGTCCCTCCCTACTCTGGCACCATCATACGTAATTTGTTTTGAGGAAGCTTCTACAGAAAAGTGGAATCTTGGTTATACTGATTCCCAGCTATGCGTGGGCGCGGAGCTAACCCAGGCGGCCAAGGCCATAGCCTCAATAACTCATTGTTCCTACAGTGCCTGCATCTGGCTTCTGCTACTTTCTATTGCAAGCTAAAACTTTCTTCTGACTATTCCCCTCGTTGGCATCTAACCCATCAGAACCTGGGATTAGTGATTGTGTCTATTTATTCTATAGTCATAGCAATCTCATGAGCACAATAAGCATATAATGTAATAATAAGAATCAGTCTTGTAATGTTATATAAAAATAGACTCCACAAGAGGGACAATTCCAAAAAGCATAATCGGGCCCGTTTAAATTAAATCTATCCTGCCCAAAAGAGACTAGAGGATGCTTATGTCCGCTCTGTTTGTGTGTTCAGTCCACGTCCCCTCAGATCTGTGAGTTCCTGACGGTGATGGCAGTGTGCCACACGGTGGTCCCAGAGAGGGAGGAAAACGGGATCATTTACCAGGCGTCTTCTCCAGATGAAGGAGCGCTGGTCAAAGGAGCCAAAGGACTGGGCTTCGTCTTCACAGCAAGAACCCCGCGTTCAGTCATCATCGAGGCTGTGAGTGTGTGTCTGTGTGTTTCAATGAAGGATGAGCGGCTTTTCACCAGAGCTGACCGTTTGTTGTTTATTCCAGAGAGGAAAGGAGATGAGCTATGAGCTGCTGAACGTGCTCGAGTTCTCCAGGTAATAATATGTCAATAAATGACTCTGTGATATGAGACTGTTCTGTGTTTCGATTCTAAAGCCACTGCTTCCTTCACAGTAACCGCAAACGCATGTCTGTGGTGGTCCGGACCCCCACCGGGAGGCTGAGGCTGTACTGCAAAGGAGCTGTATGTTATCTCCTTTTAAACATTTAATAAAGCAGTTTTTAAATGTCTTAAAAATGTTGTTTTTATTAATGCGTTTTGTCTTGTTTTTGCAGGATAATGTCATTTTTGAGCGTCTGACTGAAGCATCCCAGTACAAAGAGTTAACTATGGCTCATCTGGAAGAGTTTGCTACTGAAGGTAAGACAAGTTAGAGAGTGGGAGAAAGTAGTCATAACATCTGCTATGCAATCTTATATCATCCCATCCCTTGTCTTCAAACTGATCTTATTTCTTCCAAATTTCAAAACTTGACATTACTTAAACCCACCACTGATCATGTTGTCCTCGTCCCATCCGTCCAGGTCTGAGGACTCTGTGCTTCGCCTATGTGGACCTGGAGGAAGAGGCTTACCAGGAGTGGCTGAAAGAATACACTATCATCAGCACGGTGCTGAAAGACCGAGCTCAGAAACTAGAGGAGTGTTACGAACTACTGGAAAAGGTAAACACGACGTCGAGAGACCAGAATATTCTGAAACACACACTTCATGTTCAGGGTGTCCGCAGGGTCTTAAAAAGTATTAAAAGTTGATAAATCAATTTAGCGAAAATGAAGGCTATTAAAAAGTCATTTTCCAAGGTATTACATTTTGTAGCTTGTTTTCAATAAGTATATAAATGGTCCAAAGAGGTTGTATTCTACAGTGTGCCTGAATGTAATCATTGCGTAGGTGTGTAGTGTGATTCTGTGTAGTTTATTGATGGCATCCCGTTGGATGTGACATCATCTGAACAGGACATCGCACGCTCACTGCTTGATAGCGCGCAAAGGTCCGTTTACGCCGGTTGTTAAACAACATCGTTATGGGGAAATGCAAGTCTGCGTCCAAATGGTTGGAAGACAAGGAGGAAGGACAATCAATACTGTATATAGTCAATGTGAGGTAAAGTGTGTCGCCAATGTAACCGGTTAAAACTCAAAGTGGCGATGAGGTCTTAAAATGTATGGAAAGGGTCTTTAAAAAAGGTCTTAAAAGGTATTACATTTGACTTCAGGACTCCTGCATAGACCCTGATGTTATCCAGCAGGGGGCAGAGTGGCTCCATTGATTCCTACACTGATAGAAACATGATACTCATTCATTACTAATCTGTACATTGCAATACACAATTAGATGTCTCTAAGTATTAACTATATTGACTTTAAAGCAGATTGCAAAGACAGATGCTGGTGTTTATTTACTGGTCATCTTGTATTGACGTATGTATCTTGTTTACAAGAAATATAGCACTAAGTGGGGAATACGTGACAACAAATAATACAGATGTTTCAGAACAATAGGGTTTTTCTGAGGTTGTACTTATAGGTGGTAAAACCCAGGATTTAGAGTTAAGGGTCTAGGTGAGAGAAGTAAGTGAAGAGGGAAGAAAAGAGGAAGCAGGAGGAGGGGGGGGGGTGGGGGCTCAGACTGGGAGACCACAAGGGTAATTACCTGCACCAGGCTGCCAAAAGCCCCATAAAACTGAAGTCAACAACACTGCAGTGTTAACTTGTGTGTCTGTGTGAGCGTCCGAGTGTGTCTAATGAGGGTACACATGCATTTAAATGCTGAACAAATTAAAGTAGGGGGGGGGGGGGGGTAGGTAATGGGTTACTTCTTGGCACAAAGACACAGCTGGTACAGAGCTGCTGTACCAACCGAACTCGCTGGCATGGGGCTCGTCCTCTAACTAGATATGGATGATGAGCCCTCACATACCGGGACAAATCCTAAATATGATTTATTTTAACTCACTTATTCTGTGCCATTTTTAGCCTCTATCAAAATAGAGAGAAACTCACAGCTTTACTTTTAATTAATGTGCAATGTCTTTTCTAAGTGCTGCTGTGACCAGGGCCGGCTCTAGACAATTTGCTGCCCTCGGCAAGATTTTAGCTGGCGAATCATAGACGCATTTTGCAGTCTTTTTGCATGTTAGAAACGGAGTTGGCGACACTAAAACTGCAATATAATGTTTGTGTAGCAATAATACAGATGACATATATTTTTTACATGTCTCCAGTACCGATAAAAAGACCGCTAACGTCGGAGCTTAACGGTACCACGGTCTTTAATAATTCAGCCCCCGAGCCCGTTTAATACCGGGGCTCGATACCCATCCCTAGTTAACATTTTAATAATCAAATAAGTATGTGAACATAACCAATAACCAGAGATGGGGTCGTTACTAAAAAAAAGTAATATATTACATATTACATATTACTTTAAAAAAAAGTAATATATTACACTACTTCGTTACTCTCTGCATAAAGTAACTCGTTACTTTACTCGTTACTTTACTCGCAGGGCCGGCCCGCCCCTACTGGCAGATCACGCAGACTGCGGTGCACCTACAGTGTGCGCGCCACAGTTTTGCCTCTGCGAGACTCCACTTGCCCCCCAATTACTATTGCATTAAGGAAGACATAACACAAGTCTTTCTTTGTATATGCTCTAAAATAGGCTACCAGCTACACAACAAGCTAACAGTCTGTGAAACGTCAAGACACTAATTAATGAAACCAGTTCAAGACGCATTATTCTTATCATTCTTTATGAGCGCATAACGGTAAGGTATCTAATTACTTAAGTATTTAGTATTCCATAACTTAGTAACAGAGATGGTCAAACTAAAGTGGTAGAGACAGAATTCCTACAATGAAGCGGGACATTGAACTGTTCACCCGTGAGAGGGCGATCAACAAAAGAGAGCGAGCGACGCGTTGAGGGAGTTTACAGATGAAAAGACTCAGCCATATTTATGCAGCACTGCACGTGGAGATGTGGTCTCGCAAGTCGCGCAGATTACATAGGCCTACGTGTATATAAACCTGCGGCGGAAACCCCTCTAGTCTGTCAGTGAGTGTGATTATTTTATAAAAGTAACGAAGTAACGCGTGTCGGGGCAATGTTAGTAATTGTAGTGTGATTACTAAATTATAAAAGTAACGCGTTACACTACTCCGTTACCGACAAAAGTCATATTATTACAGTAACGCGTTACACCCAACTCTGCCAATAACCTACCATAGCCAATAACAAATACATTTAACTTATTTTATTTTTGTTGTTCATCCATCCATCCATCCATCTTCTCCCGCTTATCCGTGGTCGGGTCGCGGGGGTAGCAGTTCCAGCAGAGAGCCCCAAACTTTCTTTCCCTGGCGACATCAACCAGCTCTGACTGGGGGATCCCAAGGCGCTCCCAGGCCAGCGAAGAGATATAATCCCTCCACCTGGTCCTAGGTCTACCCCTTGGTCTCGTCCCAGCTGGACGTGCCTGGAACACCTCCCTAGGGAGGCGCCCAGGTGGCATCCTAACTAGGTGCCCGAACCACCTCAACTGGCTCCTTTCGACGCGAAGGAGGAGCGGCTCAACTCCGAGTCCCTCCCTGATGACCGAACTTCTCACCTTATCCCTAAGGGAGACACCAGCCACCCTGCGGAGAAAACCCATCTCGGCCGCTTGTATCCGCGATCTCGTTCTTTCGGTCATGACCCATCCTTCATGACCATAGGTGAGGGTAGGAACGAAAATGGCCCGGAAGACCGAGAGCTTTGCCTTCTGGCTCAGCTCCCTTTTCGTCACAACGGTGCGGTAAAGCGACTGCAGTACCGCTCCCGCTGCTCCGATTCTCCGGCCCATCTCACGCTCCATTGTTCCCTCACTCGAGAACAAGACCCCGAGATACTTGAACTCCTTCACTTGGGGTAAGGACTCATACCCTACCTGGAGTGGACAGTCCATCGGTTTCCTGCTGAGAACCATGGCCTCAGATTTGGAGGTGCTGATCCTCATCCCAGCCGCTTCACACTCGGTTGCGAACCGATCCAGTGAGTGCTGAAGGTCGCAGACCGATGAAGCCATTAGAACCACATCATCTGCAAAAAGCAGTGGTGCAATCCTTAGTCCACCGAACTGCAGACCCCCTCCCCCATGACTACGCCTCGAAATCCGATCCATGTATATTACAAACAGGATTGGTGACAAAGCGCAGCCCTGGCGGAGGCCAACCCTCACCGGAAATGGGTCCGACTTACTGCCGAGGACCCGGACACAGCTCTCGCTTTGGGAGTACAGAGATTGGATGGCCCTGAGTAGAGACCCCCTCACCCCATACTCCCGCAGCACCTCCCACAGTAACTCCCTGGGAACTCGGTCATACGCCTTCTCCAAGTCTACAAAACACATGTAGACCGGATAAGCGTACTCCCAGGCCCCCTCCAGGATCCTTGCGAGAGTAAAAAGCTGATCCGTCGTTCCACGACCAGGACGGAATCCGCATTGTTCCTCCTCAATCTGAGGTTCGACAATCGGCCTGACCCTCCTTTCGAGTACCTTAGAGTAAACTTTCCCGGGGAGGCTGAGTAGTGTGATGCCTCTGTAATTGGCACACACCCTCTGATCCCCCTTTTTAAATAGGGGAACCACCACCCCGGTCTGCCACTCCTTCGGTACTGTTTCCGACTTCCACGCAACGTTGATGAGACGTGTCAACCATGACAGTCCCTCAACACCCAGAGCCTTCAGCATTTCCGGGCGGATCTCATCCACCCCCGGGGCTTTGCCACTGTGGAGTTGTTTGACGACCTCAGTGACCTCCCCCCGGGAGATTGGTGTTGATCCCCCGTCATACTCCAGCTCTGCCTCTAACATAGAGGGCGGAGTTGTCGGGTTCAGGAGTTCCTCAAAGTGTTCCTTCCAACGCCCTAACACTCCATCAGTTGAGGTCAACAACGTCCCATCCTTACTGTACACAGCTTGGATGGTTCCCTGCTTCCCCCCTCCTGAGGTGTCGGACAGTTTTCCAGAACAACTTTGGTGCCGCCCGAAAGTCCTTCTCCATGTCTTCTCCGAACTTCTCCCACACCCGCTGCTTTGCCTCGGCCACGGATGAGGCTGCTGCCCTTCGGGCCTGTCGGTACCTTGCAACTGCCTCGGGAGTCCCCCGGGATAACAAATCCCTGAAGGCCTCCTTCTTCAGTCGGACGGCTTCCCTGACCACCGGTGTCCACCAGGAGGTTCGAGGGTTACCGCCCCTTGAGGCACCTAGGACCTTGAGACCACAGCTCCCCGCCGCGGCTTCGGCAATAGAGGCTTTGAACACCGACCACTCTGGTTCAATGTCCCCAACCTCCACAGGAATGCCCGAAAAGCTCCGCCGGAGGTGTGAGTTGAAGGCCTCCTGAACTTGGGCCTCCTCCAGACGTTCCCAGTTCACCCGAACTACACGTTTGGGCTTACCAGGTCTATCCAGAGGCTTCCCCCGCCACTCGACCCAACTCACCACCAGATGGTGATCAGTTGACAACTCCGCCCCTCTCTTTACCCGAGTGTCCAAAACATACGGCCTCAGGTCCGATGATACGATAACGAAATCGATCATGGACCTTCTGCCTAGGGTGCTCTGGTACCCACGTACACTTATGAGCATCCTTATGTTCGAACATGGTGTTTGTTATGGCCAATCCATGACTAGCACAGAAGTCCAGTAACAAACCACCACTCCGGTTCAGATCAGGGGGGCCGTTCCTCCCAATCACGCCCCTCCAAGTGTCTCCATCATTGCCCACATGTGCGTTGAAGTCTCCCAGCAAGATTAAAGAGTCCCCTTCAGGAGCCCCATACAGGACTCTTTCCAGGGTCTCCAAGAAGGCCGTATACTCTGAACTGCTGTTGGGTGCATAAGCACACACAACAGTCAGAGTTTTCCCCCCCATAACCCGCAGGCGTAGGGAGGCGACCCTCTCGTCCACTGGGGTAAACTCCAACAACGAAGCACCTAACCGGGGACTTGTGAGTATCCCCACACCCGCCCGGCGCCTCACACCTTGAGCAACTCCGGAGAAGAATAGAGTCCAACCCCTATCCAGAAGTAAGGTTCCAGAGCCGACGCTGTGCGTAGAGGTGAGCCCAACCAGATCCAACTGGTAACGCTCCACCTCCCGCACAAGCTCCGGCTCCTTCCCCCCCAGAGAGGTGACGTTCCACGTCCCCAAAGCCAGCTTCTGTCGCCCGGGTCTGGTCCGTCGAGACCCTCCGCTTTCACTGCCACCCTTCTGGCAGCGCACCCGACCCCATTGATGTTTCCCGTAGGTGGTGGGCCCGCGGGACGGAGAAGCGGAGGTGTTGCCCACGTTGCCTTTTCGGGCTGGGCCCGGCCGGGCTCCGTGGCAAGCCCGGCCACCAGACGCTCGCCGACGAGTCCTCCTTCTGGGCCTGGCTCCAGAAGGGGACCCCGGGCTTCCTCCGGGCCGGGTATCCTCACTTCTTGTATCGTCTTTCATGAGGTCTTTTGAACCAATCTTAGTCTGGCCCCTTGCCTGAGACCAATTTGCCATGGGAAACCCTACCAGGAACACAAGGTTCCAGACAACACAGCCCCCAGGTTCATCAGGGCACACAAACCTCTCTACCACGGTAAGGTGCTGGTTCTTCAGAGAGGTTTTGTTGTTCATTCATATCTTATTTTACCTAGTTAACATTGATTTATGCATTTTTTTTTTTATCTACAGTTTTAAACGATATTTTTGGTTTACTGTCCTATAGTATACATTGAAATGATTTCAAACCTGTTTTTATTTATCCCAATAATTATAAAGGAGTGCCTTGGAAATATGTGTTTACATACATTTTGATCAAAACGTTTGAGACCCACTGAGACAACTTAGACTAAAGTGAACTATCTAAACACTCAAGAGTCCTTTACCTCACTGAGCTGTAGTTATCAGCCTCTCAGTCTGACTGGAGAGAGCTCCCCTCTACCTTTGTTGTAAAAACATCTTCTTCTTATATCCGTTAGAGCAGCTAGCACCAGATTCTAATAACAACAGCGCAGGTACCTCGCTCCAACGCTCACTCGCACTTTGGCTGTGAGCTGCGGGCGCCAGATAAGCCAACATCCCCCATTTTCATCACTTACAGCGCCCATCGTACAGGGCTAATGAAAAGTGTAACCGGGGTGAAAAGGGTGTTACATTTACTTAATTATGAATATTGTTACATCAAGGCCGAAAATTAGGATGAGTACCAACGGTCAAAAATGTGTTTTCCCTCCCACCCTTAGTTAGTCAGTTAGTCAGTCAGTCAGTTAGTCAGTCAGTCAGTGAGTCAGTCAGTTAGTCAGTCAGTCAGTCAGTCAGTGAGTCAGTCAGTTAGTTAGTCAGTTAGTTTGTCAGTCAGTCAGTGAGTCAGTCAGTTTGTTAGTCAGTTAGTTAGTCAGTTAGTCAGTCAGTTAGTCAGTCAGTCAGTCAGTCAGTTTGTTAGTCAGTTAGTTTGTCAGTTAGTCAGTTACTCAGTTAGTCAGTCAGTCATTTAGTCAGTTAGTTTGACTAACTGACTAAATGACTGACTAACTGACAGTCAGTTAGTCAGTTAGTGAGTCAGTCAGTTAGTCAGTGAGTCAGTCAGTCAGTTAGTCAGTCAGTTAGTCAGTCAGTCAGTCAGTCAGTCAGTGAGTCAGTCAGTTTGTTAGTCAGTTAGTTAGTCAGTTTGTTAGTCAGTTAGTTTGTCAGTTAGTCAGTTACTCAGTTAGTCAGTCAGTCATTTAGTCAGTTAGTTTGACTAACTGACTAAATGACTGACTAACTGACAGTCAGTTAGTCAGTTAGTGAGTCAGTCAGTTAGTCAGTCAGTCAGTGAGTCAGTCAGTTAGTTAGTCAGTCAGTTAGTCAGTCAGTCAGTGAGTCAGTCAGTCAGTCAGTCAGTGAGTCAGTCAGTTAGTTAGTCAGTTAGTGAGTCAGTCAGTTAGTCAGTCAGTCAGTGAGTCAGTCAGTTAGTTAGTCAGTCAGTTAGTCAGTCAGTCAGTCAGTCAGTGAGTCAGTCAGTTTGTTAGTCAGTTAGTTAGTCAGTTAGTCAGTCAGTTAGTCAGTCAGTCAGTCAGTCAGTTTGTTAGTCAGTTAGTCAGTCAGTTTGTTAGTCAGTTAGTTTGTCAGTTAGTCAGTTACTCAGTTAGTCAGTCAGTCATTTAGTCAGTTAGTTTGACTAACTGACTAAATGACTGACTCACTAACTAACTGACTGACTGACTAACTGACTAACTGACTGACTAAATGACTGACTAACTGACTGACTGACTGACTGACTGACTGACTGACTCACTGACAGTCAGTTAGCCAGTTAGTTAGTTCGTCAGTTAGCCAGTCAGTTAGTTAGTCAGTTCGTTTGTCAGTTAGTCAGTTAGTCAGTTACTCAGTTAGTTAGTGAGTCAGTCAGTCAGTTAGTCAGTCAGTCAACTAGCACCAGATTCTAATAGGTACCTCGCTCCCATGCTCACTCTGCGGCTTAGTTATTCAGTAAGTCAGTTAGTCAGTTAGTGAGTCAGTTAGTTAATCAGTCAGTTAGCCAGTTAGTTAGTCAGTTAGTTAGTTAGTCAGTCAGTTAGCGAGTCAGTTAGTTAGTGAGTCAGTTAGTGAGTCAGTCAGTCAGTCAGTTAGTGAGTCAGTCAGTTAGTTAGTTAGTTTGTCAGTTAGTGAGTCAGTCAGTTAGTTAGTCAGTTAGTTAGTTAGTTTGTCAGTTAGTGAGTCAGTCAGTTAGTTAGTCAGTTAGTTAGTTAGTTTGTCAGTTAGTGAGTCAGTCAGTTAGTTAGTTAGTCAGTTAGTTAGTTCGTCAGTTGGCCAGTTAGTCAGTCAGTCAGTCAGTTAGTCAGTAAGTCAGTTAGTCAGTTAGTTTGTCAGTTAGTTAGTCAGTCAGTTAGTGAGTCAGTTAGTTAGTTCGTCAGTTAGTTTGTCAGTTAGTTAGTCAGTCAGTTAGTGAGTCAGTCAGTTAGTTAGTCAGTTAGTTAGTTAGTTTGTCAGTTAGTGAGTCAGTCAGTTAGTGAGTCAGTCAGTTAGTTAGTTAGTCAGTTAGTTAGTCAGTCAGTTAGTCAGTTAGTGAGTCAGTCAGTTAGTTAGTCAGTTAGTTAGTTAGTTTGTCAGTTAGTCAGTTAGTGAGTCAGTCAGTTAGTGAGTCAGTCAGTTAGTCAGTTAGTGAGTCAGTCAGTTAGTGAGTCAGTCAGTTAGTTAGTTAGTCAGTTAGTTAGTTCGTCAGTTGGCCAGTTAGTCAGTCAGTCAGTCAGTTAGTCAGTAAGTCAGTTAGTCAGTTAGTTTGTCAGTTAGTTAGTCAGTCAGTCAGTTAGTTCGTCAGTTGGCCGGTTAGTTAGTTCGTCAGTTAGTCAGTCAGTCAGTCAGTTAGTCAGTTAGTTAGTCAGTCAGTCAGTCAGTCAGTCAGTTAGTCAGTTCGTCAGTCAGTTAGTCAGTCAGTTAGTCAGTCAGTCAGTCAGTTCGTCAGTCAGTTAGTCAGTCAGTCAGTTAGTTAGTCAGTTAGTTAGTTCGTCAGTTGGCCAGTTAGTTAGTCAGTCAGTCAGTCAGTTAGTGAGTCAGTCAGTTAGCCAGTTAGTCAGTCAGTCAGTCAGTCAGTTAGTTAGTTCGTCAGTCAGTCAGTTAGTTAGTCAGTCAGTCAGTCAGTTAGTTCGTCAGTCAGTCAGTCAGTCAGTTAGTTAGTTCGTCAGTCAGTCAGTCAGTTAGTGAGTCAGTCAGTTAGCCAGTCAGTCAGTCAGTTAGTTAGTTAGTTCGTCAGTCAGTCAGTTAGTTAGTCAGTCAGTCAGTCAGTCAGTCAGTTAGTTAGTTCGTCAGTCAGTCAGTCAGTTAGTGAGTCAGTCAGTTAGCCAGTGAGTCAGTCAGTCAGTCAGTTAGTTAGTTCGTCAGTCAGTCAGTTAGTTAGTCAGTCAGTCAGTCAGTTAGTGAGTCAGTCAGTTAGTTAGTTCGTCAGTCAGTCAGTCAGTTAGTGAGTCAGTCAGTTAGCCAGTCAGTCAGTCAGTCAGTCAGTCAGTCAGTTAGTTAGTTCGTCAGTCAGTCAGTCAGTTAGTGAGTCAGTCAGTTAGCCAGTGAGTCAGTTAGTTAGTTAGTCAGTCAGTGAGTCAGTCAGTTAGCCAGTCAGTCAGTCAGTCAGTCAGTCAGTTAGTTAGTTCGTCAGTCAGTCAGTCAGTTAGTTAGTCAGTCAGTCAGTCAGTCAGTTAGTGAGTCAGTCAGTTAGCCAGTCAGTCAGTCAGTCAGTCAGTCAGTTAGTTAGTTCGTCAGTCAGTCAGTCAGTTAGTCAGTCAGTTAGTTAGTCAGTTAGTTAGTTCGTCAGTTGGCCAGTCAGTCAGTCAGTTAGTGAATCAGTCAGTTAGTGAGTCAGTCAGTCAGTTAGCCAGTTAGTTTGTCAGTTAGTTCGTTAGTCAGTCAGTCAGTTAGTTAGTCAGTCAGTTAGTTAGTCAGTTAGTTCGTTAGTCAGTCAGTCAGTTAGTTAGTCAGTCACAGGATCAATAAAGTATATATTATCCTTTTTTAAATGATCTCTTTGTTCTTATCTTTTTCCACCAACAGAACTTACTGCTGCTGGGTGCCACGGCCATAGAGGACCGTCTGCAGGCCGGCGTTCCCGAGACCATCGCCACTCTGATGAAGGCCGACATCAAGATCTGGGTCCTCACCGGAGACAAACAGGAGACCGCCATCAACATCGGTGAGAAAATAATCCCTAATGGACTAAATGTGAATCAAAGGAAAGACGTTCGTGCCACAACTTCATGGAAAGTAAGAGCTGTGGAGATGCTGTTAACTGGAAGTCCCCTTGTCCCTGCAGTAGAGGAAACTGTTCTTATTGTGGAGTTAATGAAATCACTGCGAGAAGAATAGCCACCATTATGTAGGCTGTGAAATGCCAGACATGTCTCCAATCTCTAAGTGAAAAGGGCCAGTGCAAGTTTGTCCACAAAAACTACAAAGAAAAAAACAAAGAGTCTGGACACCCTCTGAACTGCATTGTCATTTCTCCCACACCTTTTATAATCAAACTGCTTCCTAAACCTGATATTCAGAGGTTTGTTTTGCTGATCGCTGCATGATGGAGTCGAAGTATGCATAACACACTACAATAGAGATAAGACAGTCCGGAGGCTGAATGGAGTCAGATAGCTGTGTAAATCCAGTCATACATGAGACCAGTTTCTCCCCCTTGTGTTTTGGTTTTGACTAAATCTAATCCCCCACCCTTCCCCCCCATTCTCCACCTATCCGTCTCTCAGGTTACTCCTGTCGTCTGATTACACACGGCATGTCCCTCATCATCGTCAACGAGGACTCTCTGGATGTGAGTACACATTATTTCTGTGTACAGGATTGAGATTTGTTGTGTGTACAGGTAGGAGTTAGTAGGGTTTTGAGCAGGTTACTGTGGAAACTAAGGTGTGGTCCGCAGCCAGATTGGTGGGTGGGGTTCTTTGTGTGCTCACAGGTGCGGGTAATTAAAGTCTCTGGTGTCCCTCTGGAGATGAAAAGAGACGAGTAGTGAAGCATCACATCTTCTTCCACATTCACATACAGTGCCTGGCTTTCAACACACAGTCTCTGTCTCTCTATCTCAGTCTTTTTGAGCTGCGGTACATTATTTATATTAAAATAATCACACCAACAACCAAATAAAATAACTAAATGACACATGTAGCCTAATATCATATATATTGTGATCATTTAATGACAAGTCTCTGAATTTGGCTACGAGTTCAGACCCGAAGTAGCTAGCTTTGAGATCTCTGACACCTTCTCATAACAGTTGAAGATAAATAATAGTCTTGTTTTGAAGTGACAGTTGTTTTGTATGGAGATGACGTTTTGGGTCTTATTAAGGCATCATTTTTTTGGACAGATTAAGTGAAATCTGACAATTTGGTTGAAAATCCCTGCTCTATGTAACCTATTTCTAGCTAAATGTGTGTTCACATGTTCATTATTTCTTGTTGCTATTTACAGTGATGTCTGAGCTCTGTACATTAGATTCAATCCCGAGTTCCATGTTCTTTACATTCAGGTTTCATGTGTGATTGCTTAACCTAAATGGCCTGATTCCTGTCATGTGTCTCTGTGTCTGTCTCGCTTTCACACACTCCATGACCCACAGCATGTGTACACACACACACACACACACACACACACACACACACACACACACACACACACACACACACACACACACACACACACACACACAATTCCAGTGTGTTCACTTTTACAGAGTTTGTTTATACGCGAGACCGGGGAGATTATGCCTCGTAAAGTTTAAGCGTCGGAACTGTGTGTGTGTGTACTGGTGTGTCTGTTTATGGATGTGTGTGGGCACAAAGAGGGATTTTTTTTTTAGTCATATAGCACAATCTTTAGAAACCTATATGTGGATAGCATTGTGGAATCCTGTGTGAAAATGTTCATCTTGGTCAGGAATTGAAATGTAATTGCACCACTTCACACCTATTATAGTTACCTATTATAGTTTTGTTTTCTCAGTTATTCCAAGTTATAGTAAAGAAAACATATGGGATTTTGCATTCCCATGATTCAAAGTGAGCCAGACAGCATGCAAGGCCGCTTAGACGCTGGGTAAACTGAGCCGCACAGGGTGACCATTTAATGTCAAGGTAATATAGAAACTTAAGCCTGAGAACTGCCTACGTTATAAGTACAAGAGGGTAAAGCTAATACAGTTACCACTCTATAAGTGAATCATTCTTAATATGATTTGGAGGATTTTATTAGCAGCCACCACATACAGTACACTTCTACTATAAAGTTCACAGTCAGGTCGACGGTCTGGGTCAGAGCATGAAGCATTCAGCTCCAACAGGTGACAAATAAAAAAAAAGTAGTTTCTTTCATTTTCATGCCCCGCCGTTATTGCTTGGACATATTTGACATT